CCAAGATTAGGACTTAGAACACAACATGGAATGAGTTTTAAAATTTAAGTTCAAATTTCGAATGTCACTTTAAATTCGAAGTAATAATGGAATTTTTGCATTGAATTCTTACAGAACGGTTCTTTATGTCGTAATAATTTAAAAAAAAAATAAGAAATTTCATAAAAGGAGTACCTACTGTTGAAATTCGTGATATGTTTGACATCAACGAACGAACGCGATATAAAAATTGTAGGTAATCGGTTCACTTATTTTTATATATTTAAACTAGCAACCCTCCTCGGCTTCGCACAGGTGCGGTGGGTATTTAATGAATGTAACCTTTCTCTTCAATTACTCTACCTATTTAAAAAAACGCATCAAAATCTGTTGCGTAGTTTTAAAGATAGAATTAAGAGACAGAGAAAGCGACTTTGTTTTATACTATGTAGTGATTTTGCAACACATTAAGCCTTTTATTTTTATTTATGCAGACTACATAAATAATGTATAGCTACATACATGTATAGATACACATTATCTACCCTTCCTACTGTTAGTTTGTATGTAATACCACAGTGTTATTAGCACTGGGTATCTATTACATTATTTATTGCAAGTAATCGATGTAATTTCTCAACGATTCGGTCAGAACTGGTACTAAGCGGACCGCGCCATATTTGTCCAGCTCTATAGTTTATGACATGCGATTAAAATCTAGACATTATGAGCTAGTAATTGTCTGTTTAACGTTTTTCATGAAATTCTTTATCGAATTAAATGTTTTATTTTCTAAATCGATATAAATCAGACGTGGTAGCGAGTGCAAGCGCAAGAGTAGGAGAGCCAAGCATCGAGACACGAATAGGTCGGTTCGACGGGAGTGATACCACAGCCTCACAGAAAACTGGCGTGATACAACCAAAGCATTGTGTTATGCCGAGTGGCCCAAGGTTATCAGAGGCCCAATCCCTCTCCCTCTGCCTCTCCCCATCCGTCCCCACTTCTTAAACATCCGTAACGCCTTTAGTCTTTTAGTGTTAGGTGACCATGAGCGGCGCCGATTGCTTACTATCAAGTAATCCGTCTGCTCGTTTGCTGACCTATCCCATAATAAATAAAAGATGTATGTACCGAAGCCGTAGCCTTGGGCAGGCAAAAGAACGGGATAGTTTTTAGTCTGTAGGAGTCTGAAACTCGCACAAATCCCACCCCAGGCGGAAAGAGGGCTACCAACTTATTTTAAATAACGAATCAAAATAAACACATACCTTAACTAAATATTAATCCTAATATCAGTAGATTTGATCCAAAATATTTATTCTTATAAAATATGTAAATATTATTCATTATAAGCATGAACCTGCTATCATTTAAAAAGAACGCGTATTCATATATAAATACATATAGTACCTACATAATTATGTTTTCTAAGAATTTGTTGTCATATTCTTTGTATCATGACACTTTGGTTTTTGAAGTGATTTTGGAAAACCATTTTTATTTACTTAGAAATGGGAGTTCATCTGATCAAGAGGACCATGGATTACCTCAGTTTTTAAGTATGCCATTTTTTATTGGGAAATACCAAATAAAGCAGATGAATTAATTCGAAGACGATTTAAAAATTGATTTAGGTCCGTTTTTCTTCTCTAGATATTAGTATCTATTATTTGTTCTCACATAACAGAACTGACTAAATGATGTAACAGAGAAATACACTATGAAACTGATTGAGAAAGAGTAACCATGAAATTTCTTGCTCGATCTTCTCCATAGGAATCTACACTTTGGAACGAGCAAATAGCTTCACTAGTGGATGGACTGACACGCATAAAGTTAAACCTTTTGATTTTTTTTTTGCTTGACTTTCAAATAAGGTGGTATACTTGAAATAAATGATTTGAGTACGTATATTGTAACTTAATGATTTTTTTTAGTTTTGAACTTATTTCATCATAAAAGAAATACTTTATTTATGGTCCTTTCCGCAGAGTTGAAAGCAATCTTATATGAAAAAACCGCTTGTTTGCCAGGAAGCACAATTTTAATATTAAAGTAATATAAATTTGACGGTTTTTAAAAGGAAATTTGAGCATTAAGTCCTCTTATTTATAGATGGATAGCATGGGAAAATCATACTTCCGCATGAATGTGCTGGTTCGAACGGAATAATACCACGGCTTCACAGAATCCCGACTATAATCAACGCTCTGATAGGACTGAACCTTTTGAACTCTGGACTCCATCGCATTTTCTGTGCGTAAATATTATTGAAAATGCTTCTAAGAAGAAGAGGCCTTTAGTCCATCAGTGAACTACCAGGTGCTGCTGATCTATACATAAATTGTAATAATTTCTGTTGGACTTCAAATGCGTGTATACAGCCACTTTTGAAACATCAAAATTAAATTGTCTATTAGTTTGTCCGTCAGTGAAGCTAAGGCGGTGTTTGTTTCAAAGTGTAGATTTGTATGTAGAAGAACTGGCAAGAAAGACACCCGTGTGTGTACCCATGGAGTCTGGTTGTGAGAGATACACATGCCTAACGATAATTAAAATTAAAGAATAACGGATGCAGACGAATTTAAAACTTATTTCCTGATTTCAAAGTGTCATTTTAATATTTTTGGGGGTGTCGTGAAAGTGTGCTTATAATTTTAATATGAAAACTTTAAAATAAATTCGTCTTTCATCGGGAAAAGGATGTGAATATCGAAATGACTGCTTTCTCAGCGCTGTCAAGAAATGAAGTTGTAAAATATTAACTTGATCGAAGATTACGGTGTCCATTTTTTATGTAAGATCTACACGAGAGTAAATTAAATTACTATTTGGATTGTCTTGTTCTTTGAATAGGATAATAATATAATAATAATAGGAAGGAAATAGGAGGTTACTTTATTTTTTTACTCTTAACTATGTAGGTAAAAATAAAAAATTTCAATCAACACATAGGGATTGAAACGTAAACGTAACGTCATATAAGCCTATAATAATGCGTTTCTCCAATTAGCCATTTAACCAATTTCCTAATTAGCCATAATTATGCCATGTTTATTTTGTACTGACAGTTCGACATCATACATTACGAAGCTCAAACAAGTGTATAAACTATCGATTGAAACATAACAAGCAATGGAATTTGTGGCACTGTCAAAATGACAGCAATTATTTTTAATTGCGTTTTGTTATCATACGAGCATTGTAGGGCAAATTTAACAAGCTTTTTATCGAGATGGATAAATGTTTTACATTGAAAAGGTCGTAAAGTTTCTCTTGTTATATATCCGTGGGTCGTTTAATGAATTATTTAGTCAATTTATTGCCTATTGTAAGGGAGCCAGTGACATTTCAATTTGGTATGTGAACAAAAAATTATCACGACCGCGCCTGTTGTCTTGTTCCAGTTTTCACTTCTTAAAGTTCATGTTTAAGATGTTTTTTTACGCTTTTAATTTTTTGTTCATTGCTTTACAAATGTTAAAAGGTTATATTTTTTAACCGTTATTTTAAATTATGATATTTTTTATGTAAGTAATATAAGTAGATGCCAGACGAATCATCCGATGATACATGGTACCCGCAACATCCTAGATGTTAAGAGTGTTGGCCTTTTGGTTAAGTTAGGGAGTCGAGGAATTGGGATTTGTGGATAGAGGGCGGGGGAAGGGCGAGGATTAGGCCTCTAATTACCTCATTCATACGTTAAAATATATTGTGAGCGATATTTTACGCTGGTTTTATATTTTAATATCACAGATACAATCATGTTTTATACTCATATTGTTTGAAGTATTATTAATAATATGGCTTTAGTAATTATTTTTTCTTTGTTTTCAGGTAATAACATTATTCCAGTAATTATTTCGCTGATTTGAATGAAAGTAAGTAGCCTATTCACTTAAAAAAAAAATTAAGAAAATACACGAAACAAATTTTTGAAAGAAAAGAAATGTTATGATTCAAAAGAAAATATGGATGGATTGTGTGAGAAGTGATATGGAAGACAGAGGAGTTAGCGATAGCGTGACGGGTGACAGGACAGAATGGAAGTAAAAAACATATTGCGCCGACCCCAAATAAAACGGGACAAGGGCAGGAAGATGATGACACGAAACAAATTGATCTTACTTTATTTCTAAATATCAAACAAGTTACCACTACAAAGTATGTTTTGTTAAAAATTGAAAGATGTTTATGACTTTATAGGTAAAAAACGTATTTATAAAAATGTACTTTGGGTACATTTTGCCAAAATAATTATGGAAAACAATTTTATAAACAAATTAATGTGCAAACCAATATCTTAATGTTTTATAAATTAAAAAATAAAAATTGTCTATTGTATCAACATTTTTTACAGTTGGTTTCACTTCATGCACAGTCTTTGAGTAGTTAAAACAAGAAGTACTATTTATTACTGGATCCCAAACTAGGCCATAAGGCAGTGTTTTAATTTAAATGTTCTAATAAATCTAAGTATCTAATAAATTGTAATGAAATCATGTCATAACGTTCTCACAATGAGCGTAACTGGACCATCGCTTTGCCCCGAGGCCTACAGTTCATGTTTAGAAACAAGTATTGTTATCAACACACAGACACACAACCGCACATCAACCTACACTAACCCGTCAAATCCCCTCAATAGATAACCAACTCTATAATATAACAATACAGTTGATTTTGTAATGACAATTTTGTAGCAGTGATGTGCTGTACATTCGTCAATTAAAACCAGTCAGACGTTGTTGACGTAATTATCGTGTCCATTACAACCGTTTGCCTCCCAACAGTTAAAATTAGAACTACACTACATTTGGAAAAAACAACGCGAATGATTCACCCTTTAAAACGTTATTGAAGTTGTTTTTAAAAGACTTTTTGAAATCGTTAATTAACTTCTCAAACCTTATCCCACTACACAGACCATATCATGTGTTCACACGAAGTTCAATTAATAATAACTAATAACCTAACCTGACTTAACAACGCAGCGGACCCATACACGGACTAAAAGGAAACCGCAGCTATTAATTGTGATCAATACTACGAAAAAACAGAGCAATACAAATTGCAACATGTATGTACGTTAGAAGCATTTTACATTAAAGCCACGCACAAGGCTCTACTGATTTCTAAATAAACGTTGGGTGTCGGGCTATCACCCGCATATCTTGTACATCGACATAGTATTTGGTAGTGGTTCAGTTGCGCGCGCGCGCCGCGTGAAGCCTATCGGGTCACAGCGCACGCGCAGTGCTTGCTCTACCCGCGCGCATGACGCCCGCGTTTGCACCGCACCATAATATCCCGCGCACCACAAGTGACAATCGATGTGACCTTGAATAAAAATGTTGTTACCCTGTCGTCCAAACATTGGGAGGCAGTACGTGAAGTGATTACATAATAATGCCGGAGTGCACGGAACAGTTCACATTCACCATACCCATTATACGTTACACCATGGAAGCTGAAGACAGACCATCGGATGCAGAGCGCCAGCAGCTCACTAAGAAGATGTCGTTGTTGACCCCTGTAAAAATCGAGACTCCTGACTGCGGTAGAAGTGGCAGGAGATCCTCTGAACCCACCAAGTATTACATACCTCCACAGTGCAATAACAGACTATCCCCTAGGAGTGCGCGTAAACGAGATACTAGGAGGAACTCTAAGACTGGTGTTAAGGATGACTCTCCAACTAAAGAGAGTTTTGGCCCAAAGCCGTGTAACTGTGAGGACTGTAGGGCCTCGAGTCCGTTACCGCCGGGGTACGGTCCACAGACAATGTCCCCTGGTTACGACCAGATGAAGATGTCCCTATTAGAAGTGCCGTGGACTGAGGATTACACGGAGGCGTCCAGTGATGATCTTAGTTCGGAGTGGGATTCTGATGTTCCTGAGCCAGCACCCCCTAAGGTAAACATTCATCATAGAATAAATTGTACACTTCATAACACTCCAGACATATTTGGAGCACGTGATGAATAATGTTTCTAGCGGACTAGATTAAGTCTAAAACCGATTGGCATGAAGATAATTTTAAATTCCTCAGCAATTTACATCCAACTCGTCATTTTATAGATGTGTTGAAACTTGAATAGTCAATTCTATTCAATTTGTAAACGAAAAACAGGTTTCCGAAGCATTGTTTCATTTGTTCCTTCATCATTTATTTCGTGTTCATGTGCCTACTAAGTATGGCATACTCGGCAATTATAATTGAAATATTAATCCTGCATTCCGTTGCTTATATGTCAGGATTATAATAAAGCTAATGGTTGATTGTTTCAACAATAGATTTGAAAGTGTCAACGAAGACCAAACTGCTATTGATATGATAACAGACATTTGTGAAACAATTCAATAGGTAATTAACATTGAACATTGAATTGCAAATTTTGTTTCAAGACGTTCTTTGAATAGGGGGCCAGTATTTTCCCACTTGTACACATTTTACAAGCAAACAAAAAAACGAATTTAAATATATTGATAACAAGAATTTGACGATGAATATTCGCAAGAATTCCGAAACCGGAATGTTGTGTTTGTGATTGTATTTATTATTTAGGAAAGAGATTTGCATTTAATAATAATTGTAAAATTAATAACTGGTCGGTTATACCGGTTTTGGCCCGACTTTGACCTGATTTGCTCCATGTCTGAGACCACCAACCACATGTGTCTAATTTTAGATTCGTAGCGAGTGTTTATCATACAAATTTTGTGGTATTTTTGATAATATTTAAATTGAAATTGTACAAAAATGTTGGTATCGTGTTTAGACTTTTAATGGTTTTACTAGAGGTTTTTTTAGAGACAGTTAATAAAGATTAAAATTTGTGGTTTCAAATGGCATTTTATTGATCGAGGTCTGAAAACAGGTATAAGTTTATTACTCGTTTTTAATTTAGCATTTACCACTTCTACACCTACGAGTAGGAATCGTTTATACAATAAGATTTATTATAGGAAAAAAAATGACGGCTCTTTAAAAACAAAATTTTGTATTTACTACTACTTTTCTATTTACAGAGAAGAAAGAAAAAAAAACAAATCTCGTTTTGACCATACTCAACCTTGATCGACTTAATCCACTAATGGTACAAAGTGCCTTGAAATACAGTAAAAAATTTAAATATCATTAAAACTGCATATTTGATAAAATTATCGTTTAAAACAGTTGCAGTGACAGGAAGGTGGTTTAGCGATAATCTCATAAATTTATTTTTGTTGTTTTATAAACTCAGTGTTTGTCCTTTTTTATCACTATGGTATCCGTTTTTTTATATTCATTTATTTTTACCGAACTGTGGTTATCCTTAATTTTTTTGTGACCACGTGGTTGACTTTATAACTTGTACTCTAAAATATTACGAAACATTTTTGATATTTGTAGTCTCTCTTTATTATTAACGCTTCCAGCTTCTAAATTCCGACGTCGCTGTGTATATCTTTCTACTGTACCTATTAATTGATTTATGTTTCAAACGTCTCTAGACGATTCGTTTACAATTTTAAATTCAACGCCATCTATATTTTCAAATGCTATCTCGATTCGATCCTTTACTAAAGTACTTCCAAAAGTTATGATAGGTGTGATATAACAAATCGATATAATTTTTCAACGATCGATTATTTATCGATGCTCTCTCCTCGATGTTGGCGAGCACCGGTGACCGTTGTTGTCCCGTTAGCCCACTTTCACATATCTCATTGTTCTGTATGAGTGAATGAGAGTAACCTAGGCTTATTCGATTGCTACTAAGGGGCGTGGAGACAATACTTTCCAAATATTCTTAAAGCCTATATTTTGAACTCAAATTGTTGACTTTAAAATTAATCTAGCCATTTATTAAAAACAGAGGTCAATGATCCGATCAAAAGCCATTCCCGTGATAAAACAACGTCAAAATGCATAGTAAATTATGATAATGTATTTTCATTAATGACGAATGCATAAAATGGAGCAAGCAATAGTATCAAATTTTTGTGTGAATTCCATTTCGAGGTCCCTGGCCTTGCGGGAAACCCTAATCTTGCATTACTACTGAGAAATTCTTAATTAAAAGAGGTTTTCTCGATCCTGTATGCATCAGCGGTAACACTGATGACGTAGATAATATACCAGTAATGCAGATTGCTGTTATTTGTGTGATGTTTATGGAAATCATCAAGTACGACCTTTGAAATGACTTCTATAAAATGACGTAGAGCTATTAGTATTGTAGGATCTTGTAGGCTTGTGTGATTGGCTACGAATTCTATAGCTGCGAATACTATTTGCACTTTGTTATATAAATGTTTATTTATTTCTACATAGCCTTTATTATCATCTGTTTGTCTTTTAACTTCATTAATGCATTTTCCTTTCATCAGAAAGAAGGAAGATTCCAAATGGTTTACTCTTCAAATTAAAATCTAAGTCTTTTGTTTCAAATATTTCTACAATGTTCTAAATGGTATTATAATTAACAGTGTTTGTATCATGACTATTCCAATTAATATTGTCATCAATATATAACGTCATGAATATAATTGCGTCATGGTAATTAAAATTACTTGATGGTTATTAATTTGTTTTATATACATTTATATGTATATATACCTTTGTTTATTTTATTCGCCAAATAAATTATTCTGAATTAGCAGTATATGACAGGGTTTAAAAGTAAAAGCAGAAAGATTAGCACATTTAGAATAAACTAGTTAAGTAATAAAAACCTATAAACCAGATAGAGATACCAATGTGAGTGAAAAAATACAAAATTATAACAAAAGAAAAACAATACCTGCATTCGTAACTTTAACATTTGACTCACAACAGCAATATTATTATCTTCAATGCGAATTACGTGACCTCGTGACAGTTTAACTGAATACATAAGAGAGCTAAATATTGGAAAGATTCATATTCTGAAACAACAATATTCTTATCTTTAGTTTGTTTAAAACACAGTTACTGCTACTTCTATTGTTTTAGCCAAGGACGAAACAATCAGACCAGTCAAATATAAACCTTAAGGCCAAAGCAATAAACATGAGAATTATTAACGATGTTAAGTTTCATGGGTCAACATCCATTAATTGGCGTTCACGTATTTGCAGCGTGATTTTCTTTCTCATGATCTTCTTCAATAGCAGACACGTGATACCAACAAAGTAAAAAAGTAGTCTTAATAAAAAATGGTGCGAAAGAAATGTTTATTTGGAATAAACTATGTTTAAATCTGGACTAAAACTCATACAAATGTTTATAGAAATAAGAGTAGTTGCACGTGGAAACCTAAAAGAGAAAACTGATTCATCTCAGATAATATAAACGAAGTAGAATTTATGTTTTCTGAATATGAAGAATACATAATTGGAAAGAACGATACTGCTTCTCATTAAAGAAAAAAGACGAATGGTTTATCAGATTAAGGGGCAGATGGGCCAACTCGACCGGAGTCATAACAAGGCCTCGCAGAATCGCTTAGCATCAGGTGAAGCGTATGTTTATTTGCCGACCTATTCTTAGCTTACGGTTTTGAGGAACACTTATATTTATTATTAATCTTCTCACCTCAAATCATATCATAATTTAGTCATATTGCACTTGACCTGAATTTATTCCATCCAATTTCTATATCAGCTAATATTATTTTGGCTTTGAGCCAAAACCAACATTTTGCACTTAAGAAGTGGGTCTTATACGACAATTATGACTATTTTTTTAAGAGATTCATCTTAACACCTCCCACGCCACTTTGTTCACTAAGTCCAGACTTCCGTCCGTGATCTATTATCCTTGTAACTTCTGGAATCGCTTATTATTCTATTTCTGTCTGTTACGTATTTGCTTTAGTAGTTGTCATGGATGTTTGTAGAATCAGAAGTATGCAGAACTGTGTTAGTTTCAAAATTAGGCAAACTTTCTTTATAATCATATCATGCTCCTTTTCTGTCTTTAAAATTGCCTTTAATGTTTTTTTTAGGGTTGCTTTTGTAGTGTCGTTTTATATTTCTTTATTAACAATATTTTTCAATATATCGTTACATTTCAAGATTTATTTTCAAAACAATGGTAAAACAACTTAACCATGGGAAAATAGCAATTGTTGTGATTCTCAATGATTAATTAATGGCAAACAAGAGCAAAGAAATCAAACAACAATAGCATTATTCGATTGTGTTTATTGAATTACGTTCCGTTCGTACTACATTAATACTGATTGAAGACAATCAGACATCTGCTGGAGTCGAGATCGTGTATTTATTGACAATCAGAAACATTGTTGAAAGGTAAATGATACTCATCAATTTTATTATGGAAATAGTAGTGATTTGATAAATAACTGATGCAAAGGAGATGAAAAGTGCAATTGAAAATAATGATAATGATTATAATCAAGATGATTTAAAAGAAATTAATAAAGCTGAATAAGAAAGAACCAATAAAGGCAAAGATTAAAATTTAAGACATTATAAAACAAATTGGGTAACTAACATGTGAATGATGAAACAGGGCTTGGTCACGGTTTCTGGCCATGCTTAAGGAAGATTAAAAAAATCTACATACAACTGACATTCTTTAATAGAAAAAATGTTGTAACAATCATTCAAATTCAAATGTTCATTATCATTTTTGTAGAATAACTACCTACGCGTAACATCTATACAATAGGTAGACAAACTCGTTGTAAAGGTAATTAATTTTGTTGCTAAGACTAGTAACTGCGTAGTTGTTGAATAAGTTACAATATTCAGTTGAATTAGAATAAAAAGTTTAGCGTGGCACAAATTTGTAGTAGCATAGTTCTGAATTGCGTCCATTTTGACAGTTTTGGATGGAAGTATGTATATTTTCATGTTAACACAGTAATAAGCTGCGATTTGAATCACATTTCATATGCAATGATTAACGATGAATATAGTAA